TTTTGCTCTAAAGGCAGTGAGATCCAGTATTTTCTTGATTCTGGTATTATATTTATCAAAACAAGTATATTTTCCAATATTGATATTCTTGTAAATTATTTTCCTTGGTCAGAATGCTTCCCTACATAGCCCATCTGAAAAAGGAAAAAAAAAACCCTAAAATCTTTCCATGGACGTACCCAGATACTCCTTGATATCTTAAGAACATCTGTCATGTTGTTGTGTTAGCTTTTATTATTTTATCATTATCATTCTGGGACCAACATGGCTAGAACTACACTGCATACAGCTTGTATGCCTTTTTAAACAGTTATTACTTAGTACCATTTGAGGAATAAGGAAAGCAAAATAATTGTACATTCTCTTCTCTCACCTAAAACACAATAAATTTAATAGCACTGTATCTGCCATCCACTCTGTACTCAATCTTAGTTTAAAACTGCAGATCATTTGTCTTGAAACAAAATAAACTTGTACAAGTGATCATCGCTTATATTACAGTGAAAAAATATGTACCAATATTTTCCTGTTAGATGGAGTATTGTCTGATGCTTCATATACAGATGCAACTGTGTGAAATCTCCTTGTGGGACTGGATTGTTGACAGAAACAAAAGATGTGGTGAGCGAACAGAGGAATCTTCCAGTAAGATTTATACTGTTTGTTTTTTTTAAATATAAATACTTACAGGGCAAAAAACAAAGATATTTTGATTTTCTATTTGGAAGTCAATGTGTTTGATTTTATACTTTATTGACAGCAGTTAATAACATGGACTTTGGTTATTAGGTCCTTTCCCCCTTTCATTCAATCAGAATAACAGTAATTTAGTAAAATGTGTGTAGTCTATACAGATGAGGTGTTTGTAGAAGAGACTTAAACTTCACCCAAAAGTGACGGGTGAAAAACTATGCATGAGAAGTAGGACTGATCTGGAGAAGTAGAGCTGCTGTTGAGAAGGCCTGTCCTTTTTCAATGAGCAGTTTAGATTATGTAGATTTTTGTTCCTTTTCCAGAACAATTTCAGTTGATCAGAATGAGCTATGTTCCAAAAGCAAGTGTAATAATTCCTAATTGTGGTTGCTTGGTCTATTAAACATTAGTTTTCAACGACAAGGAGATAGCTTTATAGTTTATTCATTTTCTCTAATGCAGTGAGGTTACAACGCAATTGAAAGCTTTAAAATTTGTTCTTGGAGAAACAAAAAACATCCTACAGCATTATTTTGATTGACCATAGTGGATTTAACATCTGGTCCTGATTGGAGCAGTTCTTAGATGGTGATGTCAGCAGGCTTCATTGACTGTTGATATCTAGAGAGGACAGGTCTTTTAAGGACAGAGCATTAAAGATATGCTCTACTCCTTTCATAGTGCGAAAAGAAATCTACTTAACACAAACTGTTCTATACAACTATAAATCTTGAAATGAAAAATGTGTCTTTAATTTGATTACTTATCACATCACTTTTGAGAACAATTTTTTTTTGTTACATTCTTTGCATAGAGTGAAATTTCCTAGCTGCTTGGTTTTTATTTGTTTCCCCTTCCCTCCCTCCTTTTCCTACCTACAACTAGTCTTTTTGGTTTCTTAAATTAAGCAAGATTGGTCCTGGTTGAGAATTGGATAGAAGAACTCCAGTATAATTTGTTTTTTTCTTTGAAAAAAAAACATTGACAAAGACTCACTCACACAAGAGGATGTTAATGAAACCAAGTAGTTATGGGGTGAAAGGTAAATTACTACCATTGGTTAGAAACTAAGAAACAGAGTAGGAATAAATGATCAGTTTTGAGTGTAGCAAAAGGTTAACATTGGTGAGCCTTAGGGTTCTGTACTAGGAGCAGTGTTTAATATATTTATGATCTGGAAAAAGAGTTGAACAAAATGAGGTGGCAAAATTTGTAGATGACTGTTTAGGTTAGTCAAGGCTAGGGAAATCTGAAGACCTAAAAATGATACATGAATAGGCAGTATGATCATAGATGGGTTAGGCTCTATAAAGAATAGAGTATAAAATAATACAGAAAATATGCCATTATATTAAATTGGCATGCCCTTACCTGGAATACTGTGTTCAATTCTGGTCACTTGATCTCAGAGATATAGCACAAATAAAAAGGGCTCAGTGAAGGACAGTGAAAATGATTGAAGGCACAGAAAGACTTCTGAATGAGGAGCGACTGAAAAGACAGATTATGTAGTTCAGAGATGAGACAAGTACAAAGGAACATGGTAGAGGTATACAGAATGATGAATGATATAAAGATGTCAGCCATTTTCAACACCATCTTGTTAGAGCAGAGCTCAATAAGACAGGAACATCAGTGTTGAGAATTTCAAAGCAGTGAAAGGGATTTAGCCATACCTTCTCCATGAATCATAGTGGATGTGAGGTTAAATCTCTTGCATTACTTTGAAACTCCCAACCCATGATTCTAGGAGAGAGAATAACCTCTTACCTGGAAGTTTTTCACTTTTATACTTTCATGCAACATTTTTGGATCCTCTTTAGGAACCAGAGGACCAGGAACTTCTGTGATTTTAACTCCACAGGACATTTCAATCAAATCGAAAAGCAACAAATTTAACACCGATAAAAGTAAATACTGATGCTTAGTAAGATTCAGAAGAGAATTAGACATATGGATAATGAGCACATTCACAATTAGATTAGAGCGAGAGAGAGGATATAAACTCTCTTTCTTTAGAGCTCATACACCAACCACTATCTTAAAGAAGAAATTTCCTATTTACGCCATAGGAAATCACTTTTAACCTATGCTAATTTTATTTAGACTGTCTTCGTGTTTGCAGATAAACTGACACGCCATTTTACCATAGATTTATAAAGCATTTTAGTTTTAGCAAAATCAGCTGAAATAATTAAAAATTTTAAATTGTTTTAAGGTCCTTATCACCTTGTGGATGTCAGCTGGACATCAAAAATTTTTCAAGAGTTACTAGAAGGAGTATACTATATCCACAGCAAGGGAGTCGTACATCGAGACATTAAAGTAAGTTGAAAAATTATCATTAGAGGATGCAGTGTGGCCTAGTGAATAGAGCACTGGACTTGTATTCAAAAGACCTGGGTTCTATTATCAGATTTGCCACTAGCATGTTGGGTGACTTTGGGCAACTTGTTTCATCTCTCTGTGCCTCAGTTTTCCCATCTGTAAAATGGGATAATGATTCTGATTTCCTTTGAAAAGTGCTTTGAGATCTACTGGTGAAAAATGCCTTATAGGAACTAGGTATTACTATTAAAGGCAGGAAAGACCATTTGTGTTATGGAGTTGCTGATACTGGCTCCATAGCTAAGGCTGAGCTGAGTTTTGCACTTAAAGATTCAACCTCTTCATGTATGAAGAATATACTGCACCTTCCCCAAAATTACAGCACTTCATGACAGAATGAATTTGCTGAAAATTTACAAGTAAACCTATTAAGTAATTTGAGTTAAAATTAATTAAAATAGGGTTCCTTTAAGAAATTTAGCACTGTTTGTCAGACTGTTATATGTCCCAAATGATCTCAGGTTAGGCATTTTCTATCTATAAGGCTATGTTTTAATCATGGGTATTTTTTAGTAAAAGTCATGGACAGGTCACGGGCAGTAAACAAACATTCACAGCCTGTGACCTGTCCATGACTTGTACTGTATACCCCTGACTAAATCTTGGGTGGGGGCGGAGGGGGGTTTGGCGAGGCTGGCAGGCTCCCTAACTGTCTCCGTGCCTCCCCGGAAGCAGCGACATCCCCCTCCCTCAGCTCCTAGGCGGAGGTGCAGCCAAGCAACTCTGTGCACTGCCTCTGCCCCCAGCGCCAGCTCTGCAGCTCTCATTGGCAGGGAACTGTGGCCAATGGGAGCTGTGGGGTCAGTGCCTGCAGGTGCAGGCAGCGCGCAGAGTCCCCTGGCTGCACCTCTGCCTAGGAGCCGAGGAATGTTGTCGCTTCTGGGCAGCCCTCTGAGGCCCTCACCCCCTCCTGTGCCCCACGCCCCAGCCCTGAGCCCCTTCCTACACCCAAACTCCTGCTGCTGCTGGAGGTGGGAGGGGGCGGTGGCCCGAGACTGCCCCAGCAGCGGCTGGTGCGACTGGCCCAGAGGCCGCCTGAGCAGTTCAGGCGGCCCCCGGACCAGCTGCATTGGCCTCTGCAGAAGTCCCAGAGATCCCAGAAAGTCAGAGACTGTGACCTCCGTGACAAACTTGCAGCCTTATCTGTCTACACAAACTCCAGCAGACGGATGAATCTTGAATAGACCTGATGCAATGGGTATTTTTTTGAAACTACATTTTAGTATTAATGGTCATTTTTTTTCTGTTTATTTTCCTTCAGACTCTGTTAAGGGAGAAAATTATTGTCTTCAGAGAAACTCTCAAAAAATGGTTCTCTTTCAAAATGGTTATCTGCTATTGTTCTCAATGGCACGGAGGCCACATGCTGCCCTTAACCAAGATGGCCCCTGGTTCTATTCACCTTCTTCTCACAGTGCACCTGTCTCCAGACCGCATAAGGGTTCACCATCTTCCCTGAGGGCAGCTTGACTTCGTTCCCATTAAGAACAATGAGAGCCAAATTTTTAAAAAATCTAACGAATTAGAACTTTTGTCGTTATGTCCTCCTGAGTAACCTTGATTGATGACAGTAGATATAGTTATAAGATTATTGTTGACTAATTGGCTTTAATTATGAGAATTTGTAGAATATCTTGCTTGTTTTGTTTACTACTTAAACTGAAAACATATAGAAATAGACTGAATGTGTAATTTCCCCATCCCTTTCTCCTGGAGGTTCACTGGCTGTCTTTCTAGATATTGTACTTAAAATCATGATTACACATGAAAGGTATTATGTGTTTAAAAAAAAACCTTGAGTATTAAAATTACATTTGAGAGATTTAAGAGCTGCTTCAAAATACACATACAGTATTAATATGCATCCTGATTCATGTTTAATTTTTCATTACACAGTTTCAGGATCAACAGTTTCTCAATTCACTTTTTCATGTAGGTGTGTGTCACTGCATATGTCACATACATTAATCAAATCTGCCAGAATCATTTAACTTTGTGACTGTTTAAGTCATGAGATTTATTTACCAAAGTTGTGAGTAGTCCTGGTAGTTGTATAAAGAATTCCAAACAGTTACGGGAAGTTGTTTTTTCAAGCATTGTTTGTTTTTTTCCCCATATATTCTTCTGACAGTGAGTTTGCAGATGTCTTGCAGAGACAAAATGTTTTGTGATAATCTTATGAGAAAGTCTTTTTGTATTTGAAATTCTTGGAGCAGAAGTCCAGTGGGTAGATCTCCTTGATTATTGGTTAGCTTCAGTGGGTATGAGAGGTTTAACAACTTATTTAACAGTGATGTACATCTTAGATTTGACCTGTGTTGAAGAAACAGAAAAAGGGGAGATTGCCCTTGTCTTGTTAAAATGTTAACATCTGCATGGTAATCTACGAGGAGATCAACTATTTCTTTTCTGCCTCCCAAGCAGGCATCATGAATAGCTGCTCTTCCTTCACAATCTTGAGTATTTACTTTGGCTCCATTCATTAACAGTAAATTGATGCAATCTATATCGGCAGCTAAAACTGTGCCTGCTTTAGATGATGCAGTGCACACTGCAAGCTGAAGAGCAGTTTTTCCATAAGTTGGAAGAGTACAATTAATGTTTGCTCCACAGGTGATTAAAGTTTCTGTTACCTCCTTGTTCAAATGCTCTGCAGCAGTGTGAAGCGCTGTTTGGCCAAACTCATCTCTGTCATCTATGTTGGCACCATTCTCAATTAGAATAGATATAGCTCGAGAGGCTCCAGAGTATAGGGCTAAATGTAAGGAGCTGTGTCTGTAGTTACTATCCATTTCAGGATCTGTTTGAACTCCCTTCTCACACAAGATGCGAAGACATTCTTCTGCATTATGCTGTGTAATTCCCAGGTTTCTCTGAAATCTGGTCAAAATGCCTGTTCCAGTTAGATAAATATTTGGCCAGTGTAGTAGGAGGAGGTGAAGTGCTGTGTAACCTCTGTTATCTCTAAAATATACAAATTTAATAAGTTAATTCTTTTAACTTCTTCAGTAAACATCAAGTGGCTTACATAAAGATATCAAAGTAAAATATTTTAAACAGCGAAAAATAGTTTAGACTAGCATTGCTAAACTAGTAGGACATGACCTAGCAGTGGGTTCCACGCCATCAGTTGAGAGAACAGCAAAATCTATGGGTCACTAAAACCCAGTAGCTGGGGTTGGTGAGAGGCAGAACAATGCCCTACTTACCCCTAATTTGTTGTTGTGGCTGATGCCTCCGCCCCCTCCAGACCGGCAGCCAGTCACAGAGCTGCTCCTCCGCTTCTCTCTTCCCTGCCTTAATTATGCTCAACTCTGGAGCTTGGGAAGGGAGGAGACTTCCTAGGAGCTTTGCTACCCCAGAGCTGAGCAAAATGCAGGCACAAAGAAGAGTATGTGGGGAGGCAGGCAGAAACTCCTACCATACTCATGACCTAAATTCCACAATCCTTTGTGGTCAAAAGACTGTGGGATGGGATGATTCTTCGGCCGCTTTTGTGGGTGGCAGATCAAAAAAGGTTGGGAACCACTGTTTTACATTATTTATTATTTGGGACTAGCCTATTTTTGTCCAGTCCTTTGTCTTTCCCGCTTTGTTTTCAGTTTGAGATGTATCTTTTCTCCTTCATTTATTTGTAGCCACAGTAGCTGGCAGTATAGTGAGCATATTCACATTTTCTACCCTAATTTGTGTACTGTGTGTCCATATTATCCTGTGTCCCTTCAGTTATGTATTTCTGCATATGTTAAGTGAACTAATAATAAAAAAACTCCACGTTCAAAATTATGACCTCCAGAGATCTTGCCACATAGTGCACATCAACACCTGTAGAAAATGTAAGATCTTAATCACTGAGGGAGCCCTAAAGTTATATTCCACTTCAATATGCAATTGTGCATATTCTTGATGGAGTGCAACGTGAGTGACTACAAATGCCCTACCTTAGTTTTGGGTCAGCACCAGATTCTAGCAAACAACGCAAACTCTTTTCTCTTCTGTGTTTGGCAGCTAAGTGAATTGGAAGAATAGACTGATCCTGTATGGAACCAAAATACGTATTTGTTAATGTACTTCTGAGTTTTGTAATCTACAGTCTGACTTTTCTTGAAGGTGAATTAGTTTATCTAGTACAATTTGTGACAAACATGTTAGCTGGATAAGGTTAGGTTTAGCCAATCTTCCTTAGTCCCTTGATAAATGAGAGCAGATGGAGGCATTTGCCTGAATAATATTGGCATACTTGCTGTCTACATCACAGATTGCAGAATTTGGTCCACTAAAGCAGCAAACCAATAGCAGAATATGTTCTGCAGAATTTAGTTGCAAATAAAACTTAAGAACCTTGTATTTAAAAAAAAAAAAAAAAAATCTGATTTATCTGCCTATTGAACATTTGAATTTTAATATTAATTTAATTGAAAGAGCGTAGTCAAGTGTGTCCATAATTATAGTAGTTAAGCATTAAATAGTAGAAATTTGATTATTTTTCTGTAGTTGGGCTTTTAAGATTTCTAACCATTCAGTGTTTGAAAAAAATAAAATCAAGAAATTTGGGTCACCTAGTGTGTGTGTGTGAGATATAAAGCTATGCATGTGCATCTGTCTGATTCTAGTGAGCATACTTTGCAGATGGGGTAAACATACCGTCCTGAAACGGTCAAAGACCGACTGCCTTCCTGGGATTTCAGTCAAGCTGGTTCCGTGAGCTGTATGTGCGTTTTTGCTTCCTACAGATTTTGGAGTATATTGACTTACATCTTACGCTTCTGCTTTTCTTATTATAAAGCAATAACTGTAACAACATTGTAATTAAAGAAGACTAGGAAGAAATATCCCGTGTCTGTCCATTTCTTCCCGAATAAGGATTTTAGCTAGTCACCTTTCTTGTTCTTAATAGTAGTTGTCTTCACCCCAATTCTTTCTGACAGTCTTGTGGTTTTCTTGGTAGTGTACACTATATCTTACTGATACAGACTGAAATAACAGCATTTGTGTGTTCCTAGGAAGGCAGAGAAACCATCACCCAACAATGTTCCCTGTGTTTGCTTCTGACTTCTTGCTTTCTTTCAAGCTCCCCAATATGCTTGGGACAACCTTCCAATCAATATTGGCCAAAACCTCCTTGGCAACACTAAGCCCTGGTCTACACTGGGGGGGGAGGAGGGGGCATCGATCTAAGTTACGCAACTTCAGCTACGTGAATAACGTAGCTGAAGTCAACGTACTTAGATCGACTTACCGTGGTGTCTTCACCACGGTGAGTCGACTGCTGCCGCTCCCCCATCGACTCTGCCTGCGCCTCTTGTGGTGCTGGAGTACAGGAGTCCACGGGAGCAGGCTCAGGGGTCGACTAGACTAGAAGCGATAAATCGATCCCCGCTGGATCGATCACTGCCTGCCAATCTGGCGGGTAATGTAGACATACCCTTAGAAAGCCACTTAGATTGATGCATACCATTTGAAATGCCCCCACCATGCTTTGTACTAATTCTATTTACTGTATTCACTTGTATCCTCAGATAGTAAGTTTTCCGTGGGCAGAATTTGTTACTTATTTGGCATGATGGTAAATTGCTACATAAATAATACCCTATTTTTAATATGAATGGTAAAGTTCATACATTTCTTATGGGTGGTACAGTTAATGAGATCCAGGCTGACTATAGTAGTGCATTTGTGCAATGTTCCTGTACGTATCTGGTATGTTCTGACATCCCTTCCTAATGAAGACAGTCCATGGAAAATGGTTAACTTCTGTTTAATTGGAATTTATTGTAAAAATGCATAAAACACTGTCTTGGGAGTGTCCCCTCAGGCCTTAACTACAGGCCACACCCACTCCAGGTCTCCATCACTACCACCGTATTTTATTGTATTTTATATTGACAGTGAGTCACCAGCTCCATTTGCTTCTAGGGAAGGGTACAGTAGCAGCAGCTAGTCCTGCCTGCTTCTGCCTTCCTTCAGGCTCCCAACTCTTCCTCCTATACGTCCTTCCTGTGTGCTTATATAGGCCTAACTGCTGGGATTACTTCCACCCTGTTAGCCCCTTGGCTGTACCCCTACTCAGTTAATTAGCCACTGCCAAGTGCCGGTCTTTCAATTAGGGCTCAATTAATATAAATGACAGAGAGAACTCCTGAGTCAGCACCTCCTGTTACAAACACACTGCGCTAACTGGGAATCCTCTCTACAAACAGTTCATAATTAGAGGGAAAATTACACAGTTAAGCAATTTCCTTTTCATGATGCCCATATCTTTTTGGAGAGAAGATGCGTTACTGCACAGGGATACACACTAATCTAATGACAGTATGTACAGGCTTAAATGATTACTCAGGATAGAGCTTTGGCTAGGTAAACTAGCCAAATGAAATTTAATATGGATAAATGTAAAGTAATGCACATTGGAAAAAATAACCCCAACCATACATACAATATGATGGGGGGCTAATTTAGCTACAACTAATCAGGAAAGAGATCTTGGAGTCATCGTGGATAGTTCTCTGAAGACGTCCACGCAGTGTGCAGCGGCAGTCAAAAAAGCAAACAGGATGTTAGGAATCATTAAAAAAGGGATAGAGAATAAGACGGAGAATATTTTATTGTCCTTATATAAATCCATGGTACGCCCACATCTTGAATACTGCGTACAGATGTGGTCTCCTCATCTCAAAAAAGATACTGGCATTAGAAAAGCTTCAGAGAAGGGCAACTAAAATGATTAGGGGTTTGGAACGGGTCCCATATGAGGAGAGATTAAAGAGGCTAGGACTTTTCAGCTTGGAAAAGAGGAGACTAAGGGGGGATATAATAGAGATATATAAAATCATGAGTGGTGTGGAGAAAGTGAATAAGGAAAAGTTATTTACTTGTTCCCATAATATAAGAACTACGGGCCACCAAATGAAATTAATGGGCAGCAGGTTTAAAACAAATAAAAGGAAGTTCTTCACACAGCGCACAGTCAACCTGTGGAACTCCTTGCCTGAGGAGGTTGTGAAGGCTAGGACTATAACAGGGTTTAAAAGAGAACTAGATAACCTCCATGAATTTAAGTCCATTAATGGCTATTAGCTAGGATGGGTAAGGAATGGTGTCCCTAGCCTCTGTCAGAGTGGAGATGGATGGCAGGAGAGAGATCACTTGATCATTACCTGTTAGGTTCACTCCCTCTGGGACACCTGGCATTGGCCACTGTTGGCAGACAGCATACTGGGCTGGATGGACTTTTGGTCTGACCCAGTATGGCCATTCTTATGTTCTTATGTTAAATGATGAAAAGGAAGGGGACAGGATTAGTAAGCCTAGAAACACTGGAGCTCTACTGATGGTTATCACTAATTCCATACTATATTACACCCATATTTTTAACCCATTCATCTTACTCTTGGAAGCTTAAGAGGTTTTTTTCACTGTTCAACATATGTATGGTTACCATGTATGTGGTTTTTGACACCCTAGTCCAGTCTCCCCCATCTTTATCTGGCTTTTCATGTGGGAAATTTGTACCACAGCTTCCTTGCTGTTGGGAGTGATATCTCTAATTTATGTTTTGGGCTGGTCATGTGCTGGTCAGGCAAACTGGGAGGTTTGCTAGTGAAATGAACCACTTGGCATTGTGGGTGCAGCCAGAAAGTTGAGAGAAAGGCAGAGCTCCCTGACCCTTTCTCCTAGCAGCTGAGATTGAGAGTTTTTTTGTGTAGATGTTCTTGTCTATTGTTTGGTTTTAAATTAAAACTCATACTTAACAATATTTTAATCAGTAGGATTGCAGAATACAAATTAATTAAAGAAAAAGGGGAGGGAAGGAAAGGAGAGTATTTATTGGCTGATTTTCTTCTAATATCACAGTCCTAGTACTCAATTGGCTGCTTATACTGCAGCAGCAGGGAGGAAAAAAAGAGGGCCAGAATACAGCATGTCCCAGAGAGCTGGTCTGTGAATTCTGCAACACTTACAACAGAATTACTTAACGATGGAGTGAGTGGCAGCTTTAACTCTGAATGTCACTTCTGTTAGTTTAGATGAACACTATCAAGTAGCCCTTGAGTTTGACAGGCACCAAAACTTAACATATCTTAGAAATACCATTTTTAATACATTTCTTGATTCTGAAAAATATGACACAAACCAGTTACAATGATAAAATTCCCATTTGTAAGTGGGATCTCTACCAGTAAACCTAGGATGTTTTGTTTTTATGATCAGTCAACTTTTTAGAAGGTATAGTATTGAATTTCACAGATGTCTTGTAGCTAGTTTGACCATACAATTGAATCAAATCACTGGGTCATAGTAAACTACTTTCTGGGATTGTGGAGCTTGTGGGATTTATTCTGCCTCATATCTTTGTGAATGTCAGGTAGCTTTATTGTTTTGGCCAGGAATTTTTTAAAAGAGGAGCCTAATTTCAGACACTCATAAATCCATATATTAAGTCCCAAAATAAATAGTCTTGGTTATCAAGAGCTGAACACCCAGTAAGATCTAACCAGTCAAATATAGATTTAAAAGCCCCCATTTTTTAATATTAACCTTTTGATGTTTTTAATGAATTAGTTGAGGATTTTTTTTTGTGAATTTTAAATAGCAACTTTACTCTGTGGATTTAAAAATAATGATAATTTAGGTCAAATGGTTACCTGGATTGACAGTGTTCTTCTGCATGCAGAGTTATCCCAAACAATCAGTGGTTCATTGACAGGTTGGAGTGCTAGTAAAGCTTTAATGTTGGTGCTGTCATCTTTCATTATTGCTTCATACAGTTTTGCCTGAAGTGGCTTAAATCCCTTCCGCCTACAGGAAGAAAGGGAGTAAGTGAAAGGATCAGACTCAGTTGTGGGTGTGCTGGCTCCCTTGGTTATGTTACCCATGGTAAAATAAATTTAGTTTGTAGTGCGAATACACGGCCCAAAGGAAAGGCAGAATTTTGGACTCTGCCATGGGAACTGTATCACTCTTTGTGATGTTGCAAGATGTCTGGTTCTAGAACAGATTTGAAGTCTGGTTTTAAAGTTACAACTGTCAGTAGAATACTAACTGATATTTGTCTGGCATCCCGCTTCATATGTTTGTCAGATGTAATTATTGTGATGTATTTCTAAGTATAAAACATTCCCTCAGTGCTTGTGTAACATTTTAGAGTTGCTATAAAATAATCAAGATATTAAATATGGACAGTGCATTAAATCATTCAGGGTTCCACCTCCCAACCAGGGCAGGATTATTCTGTACAGTTCATTTACCAAGCAATAGGGTTTTTACTTCCCTTTTGAGGAATTGTATTGCATCCTAATACATTTCACTGTGGAGATGATTTTTTGGTATGCAGCCTAAATGTTCTATTTAATTTCATACCATACTCTTTTTAACACTCTAAATAATTCTCCTTTCTTGGTTTACAGTTTGCAGGTATTTTTAATTTTTTTTTTTAGCATTTTCTATCTTAATGGTCATATAGCCAAATTTAAAGTTAACATATTACGATATTTTAATCTTTCTTCATACATCGATGCTTTCTGCCTCCTAAATCCCTTGTGCTCTTTGCTAAACTCTTCCCAATTTATCAGTGTATTTCTGATAATGAGTTACCCAGAATTTAATGTACTATTTGAGATGTGGTCACTAGAGCCATTTGGAGAAGAGGGACTGTATTTTATGCTTCAGTATACAGAGTCCAAGTTTTTGTTTTGTTTGTTGCCATTAGACATTAAATGATCTAAATTTGCTGTGCACTATCATGCTAGGTCTCTCTTGTCATTACTGTTTCTCAGGTTTCCCCCTCCTGCTGAAGATCAGTTTAACATTATTTCCCCCCAAGTCTATAAGCTTGTATTTTTTCCCATGTTAATTCTTGTTTTGTTACTGTTTCCCCATGTTTCTTTTCTCTCTAGAGCCTCTGGTGTTGCATGTCTGCCTCCACTGGTGTTTGCATCATCTTCTGATATAACACTTGTGAATTTCATTTTTGCTCTCTTTTACTAGGTCATTAATGCAGATGTTAAATAATTATTGGTAATTGTAAATAAATATTATAGGTGTTGTTTGGTTTTATCCTCCTGAAGACTACAAGGAATATTACAATTTGTGAAACTTAAATAGAGAAATGTTACTTCAGAACTTTTAAAAAAAATTCTGTTTTTTTTTTAATGTAAGAGAGTGATGCAGTTTATTTTTGTAGCCCAGAAATGTCTTTCTATATGGATCAGACCACCATGTGAAAATAGGAGATTTTGGACTGGCTTGCAGAGATATTATACAAGAAAACCCAAACCACTGGTTAAAGACAGAGAAGATAAATGGTAATTGAAAAAACACATTAGTTTTCAATTAAAAATTAGCAATTTATTATTGAAAAGATTAATGTTTAAATCATTATCAGTTTTTATAAATGAAATTGGAGACACTGAAGCAATTTAAATTCAGTTTCTTTTTTGTAGGCCTAAAACATACTTCAGGAGTTGGTACTTGTCTGTATGCTTCACCAGAACAGTTGCAAGGATCTCACTATGATTTCAAGGTAGTGACAATTGTTTTTTCCTATAGAGTTTTAAAAATACTTTCGTGCAAAGTACTATCTGCCCAGTATTTGTTATTCTGATGTACTTTCTTTAGGTTAAGATAGTGATTATCTTTGTCTTTGCTCCTCAAATACATCTTTTTCAAGAAATCATATGGCTTTGAGTCTTTTCAAAGCTTAATTTTAAGAGCAACATTTCTCTAAAAAGAAAAGGTTAAAAATGAATGAGACTTGGGGGGAGGGATAGCTCAGTGGTTTGAGCATTGGCCTGCTAAACCCAGGGTTGTGAGTTCAATCCATGAGGGGGCCATTTAGGGATCTGGGGCAAAAATCTGTTTGGGGATTGCTCCTGCTTTGAGCAGGGGGTTGGACTAGATGACCTCCTGAGGTCCCTTCCAACCCTGATATTCTATGATTAAATGTAATGAAACAAATTTATATTTGTTTTTAAAATAAATGCTTGTTACAGTTAGTAGGAACAAAACTCTAAGCCTCCTGCTGGGCAGTTACACTATAGCTAGTAAAGTTTCCTCACTACTGGCTATGGCATAGGTTTCAGTTCTGCCTTTTTCTTGTGCACCTCCTGTGATGAGCAGGGCTGGCTCCAGGCACCACCTAACAAGCAGGTGCCTGGGGCGGCCAATGAAGAGGGGGGTGGCACGTCCGGCCGTTCGGCGGCAGGGCCGTCACTTCCTCTCGGACCGAAGGACCTGCCGCCGAATTGCTGCCATAGAATGAAGCGGCGGTAGAGCTGCCGCCGCTTGCGATCGCTTTTTTTTTTTTTTTCCTGCTTGGGGCGGCAAAAACGCTAGAGCCGTCCCTGGTGATGAGGTAGTTCATGTGTCTGCTAAAACTTTCTTTAGCAAAGTGCCAAACAGTGTTAGCCTTTAGGATGCAGTGTTCAACACCTGATATTGTTTCCTAGAAACTGTGTACAACATTGAAAATTTTATTTTGAAAATAAATGTAACTAGACCTCTTTACTTTTTTCCCCTCTTCCAGTCAGACATGTACAGTGTGGGTGTAATTCTTCTAGAACTTTTTCAACCATTTGGAACAGAAATGGAAAGAACCAAAATTTTGACAAGTTTAAGAAATGGCCATGTTCCTAGTTCTTTTAGCAGCAAATGGCCAGTACAAACCAAGTATGTTAAGTTGCTAACCAGTGAGGTGTCATCACAGAGACCAACTGCTGCTCAGCTTCTTGAAAGTGAACTGTTTCATAATACAGAAAATGTAAGTTATTACTTTAACAGCCTCCATTTTAGTACAGCATAAAGAAAACATACAGCTGAAAAAAATGCATTTATGCAAGAGGAACATAAAAAATTGCATTGTGCTGACAGAGCTGTGTTCTCCCTCTGCCTGTTTGCATGCCCTCATTGCTATTTTTACAACTTAGAACAAATGTAGTGCTTTTCTGATTACTGTGCTTAGGACCACTGCATGGGCTGTTGCACCAGTGTTTCTAATCTTGGGTGGTTGAGAAATATTGGTCTCGAAATATAGATAACTTATTTTCATTGTTGCGTCAGTTTTATCTGCTTCTCTGAAGACATAATTTTGCAGGATTCTCACTCTTGTGCTTCTACCACAAAACCTACCAGGGGTTCCCTTACCACTTTAGAATTTTGATCTTCTGAGTCACCTATATGCTGGTTCAAGGGCTGTGCTCTAACCTCAGAAGCACCAGAACATTTCAGTCATCTCCCTTTAAAACAGTGGTCCCCAAACTGTGGGATGTATTCCCCCCCCTTTCCCCAGGGGCATGCAGAGGTTGGGAGGGCATGTGGCAGGGCCGAGGCTAGCCCCCACAGGGGTGGGGAGGGAGCGCCACTCACCCCTGCCCTAGTTCCACCCCCCTGCCCAGCTCCACCCTCATTCCCTCTCCACCCCCAAACCAGCTCTGCCTCTAGCTCCAGCTCCTCCCCCATCCAGTTCAGCCAACTGTCAGGGGTGCTGGAACAATTTGTAGTGAGAGTGCTGAGAGCCATTAAACCAAACTGTAAACCCTGTATATAATGGAAACCACTTCAAGCTGGGGGTGCAGCACCTATGCCAACTGTGCAGTAATGGAGGGGGAATGTGGACAGATTCCATTACAGGGAGCAGGTGGCACGTGACAGGAAAAGTTTGGGCACCACTGCAAAACATAAGCCACTTGGGGCTGGTCTACACTAGGCGGGTGTCGATGTAAGATACGTTGACTTCAGCTACGCTATTCCCGTAGCTGAAGTTGCGTATCTTATTTCTACTTACCTCGGGTCCTCATGGCAGCGGAAACGACAGCCGCGGCTCCCCCGATGACTCCGCTACTACTGCTCGCCCTGGTGGAGTTCCAGAGTCGACGGGAGCGCGTTCGGGGATCGATATATCGCATCTAGACGAGACGCGATATATTGATCCTCGATAGATCGATTACTACCCACCGATTCAGCGGGTAGTCTGGATGTACCCTTGGTACTGTAGCAGAAGGAAAAGTCCACCCCCTAGTGCTGCAGCTACCAACTGTTTGCTACTGCCATCCCTATCATCAGTGAAACTTGCATTTCTTCTGGCTGTAGAGTAAGTTAACTTTTCAAGGGGGGGAACATTTAGTTGGCTTGGTGTATTAGCTAGTGGCAAGCAAATTTAAGAGGGATCCTTACAATACATGACTTTTCTTAAACTGACTTTCGCTTTCAGGTTATTTGTAGTCTACAGCAGAAGGTGATGCAGCAAGAGGAAGAAATTGAAAAACTTAAGGAGAAAATAAAATTGCTTTCAAGAGAAAAAGAGGATAGAGAAGATAAGCACAAGAGGCTTGGTTCTCCAGTTTAAGTAAAGCATCAGTCAGACTGTATATACATGAGTAGCTCAATATAACCTATACAATTATGTAAAGTTTCTTTTATAAATATTTCAAAACACCTTTCCTGTGTCTGTACTTTAATGGTATTTGTCTTTCAGGCATAATTTAGTTATGCTCTCTCTCTCTCTCATATTTCACTTATTACTATAAGGTCACTTCTGGTGATGTAGTACCCTTAAAATTTACATCTTATGAAGAAGCATGACATGGAATTAAGTACATTTGTCTGTCTTATTGGTAGATAGAATTCTCAACATGAGACACTCCAAAATTAGCTTGCTAGAATGCATCACTGGTTGTAGGGCTGCCTGGGCACTACAGCCTGGTGTAAGGGGTCACAGCCCTGTTCAGGCTTGGCCTAGCCAAGCCTCCATCATGATGCAGGGAGCTAACTGGGCCTAATTTTGAGTGGCACTGTGACCCTATGTGCCAGGTCATAATTGCCACTCACATGAATTTGGTCACACTGGCACAAAGCTGAGCCATGCTGGGACCCTGGAAGAGTAAGTCATTGGTAAGGCTGCAAGTCTGTCATGGATGACAGGACTTTCCCTGACTTCTGCAGCAAGGGTTTAGGGTGGGAGGTTCCCCAACTCCCACTGGCATGGCCCACAGCTCCTAGGCAGAGAGGCCACATGCTGTCCTCACCTGCAGGCCCTGTCCCCACAGCTCCCATTGGCTGTGGTTTCTGGCCAATGGGAGCTGTGCAGCCAGGGCTTGTGGTAGGAGCTGCAGGGGCTTGTAGATTTGGGTAGAGAGCCCATCAGCCCCACCAGCAGGGGTCCCAGGCCACCTCCAGTACCCATGGCACCCCTGGACCACTCCCTGAGCTCCCACAGCCCCCTGCCCAAGTTTTAGTTAGGGGAATATAGTAAAGGTCATGGAGAGGTCACAGGCTGTGAATTTTTGTTTACTGCCTGTGACCTGTCCATGACTTTTACTAAAAATACTTGTGACTAAAATATAGCCTTAGTCATCGGCATTCTCCCTTAAGTAGCAGCTCCCCAATGTACCCTATCTGTGCCCCTGCTGTACCCCTCCCCCTAATTGGGTCACTACCCATTCTATCCCCCAGCCTCCCCCACTCCTTTATCCCCTGCCCCCAGTAGGCAGCGTGTGTCTGGAGCTGTTTTTTTAGTAGTGTCTGATCACACACTTCTCCCAGGTTGCCAGTGCAGGGGAGTGCCTAATGTTTACATCTAGCATTTTAGCCCTAAGCCTCTTCCTGAATCCTTGTGCGGGATAGCTGGGGGTCAAAACATGCCCTCAACACTTACAACCACTGGTCTAACATACAGCTGTGGCACCACAAGCTATTATGGGTTTATTTTAATCTCATACAAATAAGATTACAAGCAAAAGGCAACTGTAATGTCTTTATTGGTATAAGATTTTACAATTGATGTTAAAAGACTTCAGTCCACAATCTTATTAAAATACATTTTAGAAGAGACTTTCACAACCACCACAACAGTCATGAGGTGGAATAAAACTACAGAATCCCCCGTGGAAGAGTGCATATTCATTTTAATAGTTTAAGGGCACTGTTGAAAGGTGCCAAATTCTCACAAGACTTCATCCATTTCTGTACGTTGGCTGGAACGGCATTAGAGCTACTTGTCTGCTGAAGTGCACACCACGCCACAATGTCTGCTACAGTGAGTTCGTTTCCCCCCAGCCAGGGTGTCTTGCCAAGGGTGGTGTTCATGGAGCGTAAGACTGCTGCTTTTTCTTTATTGCTACCTTCCTTCAGCTGGAAGATGGCTGTATCCACCCAACTGTCTATCAGAGTTGAAGTGACTGCATTATGCTTCTGGCCAAATAAGGAGAACAAAAATCTAGCAATATTTCCTTCTCCTTCAATGGGACACATGGTTTGAATGCTGAACTTCATCTGGGGCTTGGGAACTGAAATTAAGACAAAATTAAGAACACTTGGCACCACAAACGTTTACATTACATATAGGGAAAAGGGTTGATTAGTAGTAGAGGCAGGGCTGCTAATGCTGCCTATTAAAGTTTTCCCTAGAAGAGCCTGTTTTCAGTTACTTATAACTTGCCCTGTTGGGTTGAAGTTTTCCATGCTAGGTGTCTGCATCGGTCTCAAGGGTTGTTTTTTTTAAACATTTCAGCTGTTTCCAAGAATGAGTCTAGGAAAAAATACTTTTTGGTTCTGTTAAGTTCAGCCTAACTTTTGAGTGAGACGTTCTAGCACTACCTCCTTCCCCCACTGCCCAATACTATGGAGCAGGGCCCTGAAGTTTGGGAAAGAGGAGGGCTTTTGCTGTGATAAATCCAAATTTGGCCAAGTTCTAAGCCTTTGAAAAGTCAGTTTCCACATGCTCATTGGGGACTTAGATTTTAACAGCTACATTCCTTGAAGATTCTGTCCTCAGTGGGCATGCTGCAGTTTGAGGCTGAGCAGAACTTTCCCTGCAGTGAATTCTAGACTATGCTAGGTCGAGGAACCTGCCTAGGGCAGGTACCTAACACTCTCTCATGCTCTCCATGATTCATTGGGCCTAGGCAATGGGGAGGTGACAGTTGGTTGATTCCAATGAAGAGTGCCAATGGCTGGGAAAGGGGTAGAGGAGCCTTTGCCCACTAGACTACACTCCACAGAGCCTGGAATGAAACCCAGCATGCTTGAGTATCACCAAATATCAGTGAAACTCACAGGCGAAGTGTCCCATCCCACCGCACTCTCAGCTGGTACACAGAGGATAACTACTCCATAAACTCCAGGGGCAGAGGTCTGTGGGGCAGATGTAAATATTCCAGTTCTACTGATGAATAATGCATGGATTGAAGATGATGCTCTCCAACAGAATTTGTTTTCAGGAGTTACTTGTGTATACCTTTCTTGCTTTTTGAATACTGCAACCTAAATTCAGCCCCCTTGTACATATATATTATGATAGTCTTTAATTATATGATCACACTTTTCCCCCCACAGGATTCCTGCTTCATTCAGTACTCAATGAACAGCTATTCAATATTGTTTTCTAATTGCTCAATGCATGGCCCCATGCCTGCCTTACTGCATACTATTCAAGACCTGCTCTTAAAAACAGAATGACTAATTTCCTTATGAGCTTTTCCATGTTGCTTACTACTATATTATTGGAGTTCCTTCCCAAATAATGAATTTTCTTAACAACCCTGTGACCCAGGGTGTATTTTACAGATGGAGAAACTAAAGACAAGAAATTAAGATCAAAAGTATCTACTAATTTCAGGTGCCCAATTTGAGATGCCTAGGACCTGAGTTCCCGGGGTACTCCACATTCAACTGCCATAACTATGAGACTGTCCTTTCTCTTCCTGCAATCCCAACTCATTCACTACACACCTTCCTACTTCTGCAACAAATGAGGCAGGGGTCCTACCGACAAGTCTCTACTACACACCCCTCATTCATCCCCACAGCAGGTCCTGTGAAAAAGTAGTATGTGATTATGAATTAAAGACCATCAAATGCATACACACAAGGGGGCCAAATTAAGATTGAAAATTAAGGCTACCTATGCAAAGTTCCTAACTTTTAAGGGCTTGACTTTGCAATTTTAATAACGTTCTTTTAATGTAGTTTCTGTGCAGTATGAAATAAATTTAGGAATGTCTGTCATTGTTTCACTAGCTCCCTAACTGGATAGTGCTACTATAGTAGTAGGGTTTTCCCCTTATTCATATTTAGAGAATCATCAAATGAGAATGCAGTTCACTACAGAAAAGACTTTCAGACTAACAAGAAAATGATATTAAATTAGTTTAATAACTTTTTATATAAAATTGATAGGGATATGAACTGAAAGGGAGATAGTGCGACCTCAGCCTGGCTAAAATGGAAGTTCGTGGTAGAAAAGGACAAACAGGAGTAGGCTTTTATGCCTCATTTACTGAAGGTATAAAATAATGTCACTAATAAGGCTTGCCGTCTTTGGCTCCTCTTGGATTAAATTTCTTCTGGATTCCCAGGCATTGGTAAACCCCATACAACTGGGCTCTGGGAGGGAGTTTGGGTGCGGGAGGAGGTGAGGGGTCAGGCTCTGCGAGGGAGTTTAGCAGGGCTGCTGAAACAATTTGCATAGTGGGGGTGCTGAGAGCCATTGAACCAAACTGTAAGCCCTGTATATAATGGAAACTACTTCAAGCTGGGGGTGCTACAGCACTACTAGTTCCAGCACCTATGGAGTTTGGGTGTGGGAGGGGGTGTGGGGTCAGGCTTTGGGAGGGAGTTTGGTTGGGGGAGGGGGTGTGGGATCAGGCTTTGGGAGGGAGTTTGGTTGCGGGCTCTATTGGGGTGCAGGAGGTGGTCAGGGGATCAGCGCTTACCTCGGGCGGTTCCCGAAAGCGACCGGCACATCCCTCTAGCAGCGGCTCCTAGGCAAGGGGGTCAGTGGGTCTCCGTGCACCACTGCCTGCAAGCTCTGCCCCTACAGCTCCCATTGGCCGCAGTTCCCGGTCAGTGGGAGCTGCGGAGTCGGCACTCAGGGTGGGGACAGCGCGCAGAGAGCCCCTGCCCTCCCCCAACCCTAGGGGCACAGGGAGGATGCCGGCCGCTTCCAGGAGTGGCGCAGAGCCAGGGCAGGTAGGGAAACTACTTAGCCCCGCTGCCGTGCCAGACTGTTAGCACCCAAAATCTCCCGGTTTGGCTGAAGTAGCCTTCAGAAGATAGAGCATGATTCCAGGAGACTGCCCGCAAAACCAGGAGGGTTGGCACCCCCCCATTTCTTGCCTAGCTGAGGAAGAGCATGCTCGTGGAAGCTCCTTCCAGAGCAGATGAGGGATACACCTCAACAAGACACATTTGAGCGTACACAAACTGCTGTCAAAAGGACACTAAGAAAAAAAGCTCTGATTTTTCTTTTTTAGTAACCTTAGGAATCACTTGTAGCAACAGTAGGTACAAAATTCAAATGGAACTGTGATTTTTCAAATTGAATGACCCTTTAAATGCTGTGTTCATCTAAAGCAAATGCCTGAAATTAGAACTATTTAACCATTTGAAAGCCAATACTCCCCTTCTGTAAGTTAGATGCCATTCTTACCATTCTTCCAAATGAGAGTGAAGCCCAACTGATACTCGTGACGTGATTGTTTCCTAGTCTGCTCACCGAAGCATTTCAAGAGGTTTTCTGGCACACATTTCACTGATGAGTGTGTATGAACAGCTGATAAAATCTTATAACGCTCACACAGCAGACTGTGCAGTACTAGCAGTGACAATGGAGGTTGAAAAGGGTTTGCATTGATCACAATATCTTTCAGAGCACCATAATCCTGCATCAAAAGTAAATAATATTTAGCAGACATTAATGTGTAACAACTCATTGCACTGCAGAGACATTCAATAAGTACAATTTGGTGTTGAACAAGAAATTTATCAGGCCATATAGTTGTATATCCTAAACCTTATAGCATTCCATTTATTTTTAACATTTACAATGTCTGCTCAAGCAACTTCCTTACCAAGCAGTAATATTTCTAAGATAAAAAACACAGTGCTCATTATGAGTCAAAACCTGGTTCTAGCTGAAGTCCAAGGTAAAGAGTCCATTAACTTCAGCAGAATTAAGATTTAGTGCCATGGCCATAATTTCAAGATCAACTAGTCCATCTTAGAGTTCTGTGATCTGGAGGTTTCAAATAACCCAAACTGAACAGATTTTATTTTAAAGAGCAGTAGTAGGTCTTTTGTACGTATCAGTTTTGAATATCCCAAATTTTACTCAGCCTGCAGTTTTTTACCCTTCTTATTCAAATTTGGATGCAAAGCAAATTAACTACTGATCACAGAGACCTCTGCACAAAAGGTAATTCATTCACTGGAAACATGTATATTGATAATATACTAGTCTGGACTTGCCTTCCCAAGCATTGAATCTAAGTCTGCTGCGTTTGCAGTCAAAGGAGCATATTCATCAGCTTGAATTATATTAGTTACATCAAAGTCAGCATCTGGTGTTTGTATCATCTTTGAGAGCCCATCGACAGCAGTTTTAAGTTCATACAAGCGTTTTAAGATCTCTTCTTGGCGGGATTCAAGTGCTAGAAGTGATGCGTCAACCTCTTCCTAGAGGGAAAGAATTAGATTACATTTATTTTCACTCATACCCAATACATCAATACAATTATTGTATATCATTGAATGAACTGTGCATAAAACTCTATAGGAATTTATTTGACACTAGTCACATCACACCTTTCATTTTAACACACTATGAAAATTTTTAAAAAATATCCTAAAGGAAATTCTTAAGCTTATTAGTAACCCATGTCACTTCCACTGACTTTACGTGAACAGATGACTGCAAAATGATGGATTGTAAATATGCCCCTTATTTAAATGGTTTACTGAAATCCTATTGGTTAAAATATCTTAAGTCGTTTATTAAACAATTTTTGATCCACATGTTACAGCTCCATCTACAGAACAGTGATTCTAAGACCTAATCATGGGATAAAAGGGAAGGTCCTTTCATGGATTGAGAACTGGTTAAAAGACCGGGAACAAAGGGTAGGAATTAATGGTAAATTCTCAGAATGGAGAGGGGTAACTAGTGGTGTTCCCCAAGGGACCAATCCTATTCAACTTATTTATAAATGATCTGGAGAAACAGTGAGGTGGCAAAGTTTGCAGATGATACTAAACTGCTCAAGATAGTTGAAACAGGGGTAAACAGTGAGGTGGCAAAGTTTGCAGATGATACTAAACTGCTCAAGATAGTTAAGACCAAAGCAGACTGTGATGAACTTCAAAAAGATCTCACAAAACTAAGTGATTGGGCAACAAAATGGCAAATGAAATTTAATGTGGATAAATGTAAAGTAATGCACACTGGAAAAAATAACCCCAACTATACATACAATATGATGGGGGCTAATTTAGCTACAACAAGTCAGGAAAAAGATCTTGGAGTCATCGTGGATAGTTCTCTGAAGATGTCCGCGCAGTGTGCAGAGGCGGTCAAAAAAGCAAACAGGATGTTAGGGATCATTAAAAAGGGGATAGAGAATAAGACGGAGAATATATTATTGCCCTTATATAAATCGATGGTACGCCCACATCTCGAATACTGCATACAGATGTGGTCTTCTCATCTCAAAAAAGATATACTGGCACTAGAAAAGGTTCAGAAAAGGGCAACTAAAATGATTAGGGGTTTGGAACGGGTCCCATATGAGGAGAGATTAAAGAGGCTAGGACTCTTCAGCTTGGAAAAGAGGAGACTAAGGGGGGATATGATAGAGGTATATAAAATCATGAGTGATGTGGAGAAAGTGGATAAGGAAAAGTTATTTACTTATTTCCATAATACAAGAACTAGGGGCCACCAAATGAAATTAATGGGCAGCAGGTTTAAAACAAATAAAAGGAAGTTCTTCACACAGCGCACAGTCAACCTGTGGAACTCCTTGCCTGAGGAGGTTGTGAAGGCTAGGACTATAACAGCGTTTAAAAGAGAACTGGATAAATTCATGGTGGTTAAGTCCATTAATGGCTATTAGCCAGGATGGGTAAGGAATGGTGTCCCTAGCCTCTGTTTGTCAGAGGATGGAGATGGATGGCAGGAGAGAGATCACTTGATCATTGCCTGTTGGTCCACTCCCTCTGGGGCACCTGGCATTGGCCACTGTCGGTAGACAGGATACTGGGCTAGATGGACCTTTGGTCTGACCCGGTACGGCCGTTCTTATGTTATGTTCTTAATCAAAACCAGATAAAAACTGCAAATCTACATACATAAGAATACAAAATTAAACCTTGAAGAGTTTAAGGACTTCACGAATATAGAAGCCTAAAGAACCAAGAATGACTTGCCAGCCACTTACTTCAACCAGTGACTTTCATAGTGATGAAAGTCATGCTGATGTTGCAATATCAAAAAGCTTTAAATAAAAGTGAATTCTAGAGCTCAAACATAAGGCTTGGAGTCCGATCTGGTTCTTCCCAGAACTGTTATACAAACCCGAGCAAAGTATTTTACCCATCTGTGGTAGTTGGATAATACCTATCTTTGTGAAGTACTTTGGAGATCCTTAAAAAAAGTGGCAGTAAAAGTTTTAGTTATTACCAGGCAAGACATACAAGATTGTTTCATGCTAATTTTTAATCGAGATTACTGATTTAAAAAAAAGCCAAATGGCAACAGGCAACCTATACAATGCATAATGAAAGTACTTTGGTGCTAAAGGCAAACACCTAATGTATAGCCTTGTGCGTTATCTTAGGTGTGGCCCTTGATTCTTCAAAGTATGAGGAAAGAAAAAGCTTCTATTTAGTACTAACAGTGAGGTTTCACCAAGAACAGTATGAAATACATTGTATGGGCTGGTCCGCATACCCTTGCACCAAAACACCTACACTGATTTTAATTCACACCTGGTGATATTTTAGTGCATGTGGGTACCAAACCGAACAATTAGATCTGATTTTCACAAAAATAGCAATTTCAAGTATGTGTAGTAATATTTCATTTCTGTAGAGGACATGTAAACAGAGCGGGTGTGGTACAGTAAATAGACTAATAATTCGCCAACTTTTTCTGCTCTGCAGAACACTGAAATATTCCCTCATGAACTATCTGCTTCTTCGCGCACACACCACCCATGACTTCCCAGGTTTGGCTATCAAAATATTTAATCTACAGACCACTACATTTATTTTACACTGTCCCATTTTTGCTATGCCACAGATTTTTGTATTGACAATTTTAACTGCTTTGTAGATGTCAGGGAAACTGAAGGGTCAGGAAACTGGAAAGGAAGAGTTGGAACTTTTGGCACCTGGGTATGCAAACTGGTTTGAGACTGTGGGTAAAGAATGTAAAATTGATGTCTGCTAACATAATCAGCAAATAGCTGACAATGCTGACATTTGTACTGCCATATTTAGGTTTTGAGTAGATAACCCATTAAGATGCATAGGGAATTAACATTTCTCAGTCATATTGTTGCAGTCAGGACAACAATGCTATCACCTTACACTTGATTCACATTCTATGGTTACCTTCACAGCCATCAAGGCAAGACACAACATCTTAATCTCAAAAAATAAAACAGACTCTGGCACAGCCTTCTACAAAGAGAGATGGAGTCCAGGGCATGCCGAAGGCTTTGCCTAGGACTCTATAGCCTCAAGAAAGACGTTTTACCTTCTTGTCTCAGTTTCCCCACTCGTGAAACAGAGATGCTAAGGGACTAGTACGATCCGCAGAGGGCTTTGAGCGTACAGGTCCCACAACATTCAGCGTTCACACAGTCAGACCCCATGCGACTATGGGCAGGCAAACTTCACTGCCGACAACGGAGGCTCAGCGTTATCAAGAGCACGCAGCCGGGTAGGCCGGGACAGAGCTCCACCAGACGGGGGTTTCCCGGAAGTGGCCACACAAAGCAACGGTTGGCTTCCCCCGGTGCAGGAATTGAGGAGACCCCTCCCCCCGGGCTTGGGGGTTCCGCGAGCTGCCTGACTTCTCACCCGCCCCCCCTTTTGGGGTGAATATCCGGGGCCGGGCTCCTCGGCTACGCGGGGACGGAGCCATGTCCCTCCCGGCGGGGAAGAGTCCACAGGGCCCAGCTCCAGGGGCCGCGTGGACCCTTCCCGCGAGGAAGCGGGCTGGCCCAGAAGCCCAACCCCCACCGCTCCCAGCCGAGCCCCCCAAACAGGCCTCCGTTCCGCCCGCGTGCGGCGGCCGCGCTCCTCAGGAGCCCACCTCCCGCTCCGCTCCTACCTGGTGCGGTGGCGCGGCGGCCGCCGGGCCGCGGTGCAGGTTCTGCAGCCGGTACATGCAGGTGGGGAGCTGCTCGGCCCGCACCGCGCCGGGCGCCCCGTGAAAGGACCTCACCTTGTACATGGGCATCGCGCCACAGCAGCCCCGCACCTACGGCTAACCCCGGCTGACTGAGTCAATCACACTGCGCTGCCACCGCAGCAGGCACCAGCCCAGAAACTGCCCCGCCCACCTCAACCTGTCCTCCATTGGGCCATGGACAAGTCCCTCACGCCAAAGCACACGTTATTGGTCCAACTAGAACCCTCTCCCCGCCCAGCTCCTTTACCCTCCTCCCACTGGTCAGAATGAGTGACTGATGCAACCAGGTGGATCTCAATAGGGCGAAGAGTAGAGATCCCTCTGTTGATTGGGCAGGCCGGTCAGCCAATCAGTATGCGGGAAAATGGAGTCTGCAAGAGTTGTGCTGCTGTGGGCTCTGTCCGAGGAGGCTTAACGTTGGCGCGGTGCTGGGCTGTGTCCGGGAATCCCGCCGAGCCAGCCTGGCCATCTGCGTGCCGGGAGCTGAGACTCGATGGAGGCGACGGCACCCTGGTGAGGCCCGTTCCCCGAGGTGGGGGAGGTGCTGGTGACATGGAGGCGTCTGAGGGCGCCTCTCCCTGCGCCCGGAGGTGGCTTCATCTCCCGCCCGGGGAGGCGCGCGCCGGGCCCTTCTCTAGCGGCCGTGAGGCGCTGGCGCGGTCGTCCGTGCAGTGCCCCCACTATGCCCTTCTGCCACCCCAAACCTGCATCATCCAGTCAAACTAACACAAAGTGGGATGTGATAGAAGTCTATGAAATCACGACGGGTGTAGAGAAAGTAGATAAGGAAGTGTTATTTACTCCGTCTCATAACACAAGTACTAGGGGCCACCAGATGAAATTAGTAGGCAGCAGGTTTAAAACAAACAAAAGGAAGTATTTCTTCTCACAACGCGCAGTCAACCTGTGGAACTCCTTGCCAGAGGATGTTGTGAAGGCCAAGACTATAACAGGGTTCAAAAAAGAACTAGGTAAGTTCATGGAGGAGGATAGATCCATCAATGGCTATTAGCCAGGATGGGCAGGGATGCTGTCCCTAGCCTCTGTTTGCCAGAAGCTGGGAATGGATGACAGGGGATGGATCACTGGATGATTACTTGTTCTGTGCATTCCCTCTGGGGCACCTGGCATTGGCCACTGTCGGAAGACAGGATACTGGGCTAGATGGACCTTTGGTCTGACCCGGTACGGCTGTTTTTATGTAGATGCTTTGTATGTCTACAGAAGTGCTTTTTCTGTCAATGTCGTTAATCCACTTCCATTAGTGGCAGTAGATAGCTCAGCATAAGAATTTTTCAATTGACACAGGTGTTTCTACTTGGGGGTTAGGTTGACGTAGCTATGGCGATCATGGGGTGAAATTTTTCACAGCCCTGAGCAATATAGCTAGGTCAATCTAATTATTTAGTAAAAAGAACAGGAGTACTTGTGGCACCTTAGAGACTAACAAATGTATTAGTCTCTAAGGTGCCACAAGTACTCCTGTTCTTTTTGCGGATACAGACTAACACGGCTGCTACTCTGAAACCTGTAATTATTTAGTGCTGATCTACAGTAGAAACTTACATCAGTATAGCTACATCTCTCAGGGTGTGAAAAATCCACACCCCTAAGAGACATAGCTATACTGACCTAACCCCCAGCGTAGACAGTGCTAGGTTGATAGAAGAATTCTTCTGTCGATCTAGCTACCACCTCTCAGGGAGGCGGGTTACCTATATGGATGGGAGAAGCCTTCCTGTTGGTGTAGGTAGTGTCTATGCTGAAGTTGTGCGGCTGTAAATGTTTTAAATATAGATATACCCTTAGTCTGTGGTAGGCTAGTGCAGGTTCCGTTCACACCCCAGCTTGCTGCAAACTAATTGTTTGTGCAGACAAGCCCTAACGCTCATGAGACTCTGCGCTGTAGCTGGCAGCCTCTATTTACTTGGTTCTTAACTCTGTGTTTTTAGTTGCTATAATTGTGGTGAGGGAAGTAGTACTGAATGATAGCAACCTTTTTCACATCTAATCCTTAATTGCTTTTTTTCTTTTAGTGCACAGCCTGCTAAAGCCATCAAGCCTATCGACCATAAATCAGTTCACCAGATCTGTTCAGGACAGGTTGTACTGAATCTAGGCACTGCGGTGAAGGAGTTGGTGGAAAACAGTGTAGATGCTGGAGCTACTAATATTGGTAAACTTGTTGTTTTAATTTCATGTGAGACTAGCACTTAATTCTCATATACTGCTTTGTAACTTCTAAGTGCTCTGCACCTCCGAACTGTTTAGGACAAATGCTTTGTATTTGACCAGGTATATTTATAGCCATTTTACAGATGGGAAAACGAAGGCATAGAGCACTTGGGGTCCCAGTTCTACAATTGGATCTGTGGAAGCTATACTACTTTATTTCCATGTCTGATGTTTTATAAAATTAATGGGATTACTATTGTGTAAAATTAAGCACGGGCATAAAAGTTTGCGGGATCAGGCCTATTTTGGAAGCTTGCTGCAGCATGTCCTACGCTGCTAGAAAACCATATGTAATCAAAATCTGACATGGAATCCAGCCTAGTTACCACCATTTGATGGCCATTCGGTGGACTATCAGGAATTAGTTTGGTTTAAGTCTAGTTCCCAATGGACAATTTTCCACATCACAAAAACTACAGCCATAATTAACATTAACTGATACTCTTATTAGAGAGACAAGGTTGGTGAGATAATATCTTTTATGGACCAACTTCTACAGGTTAAAGAGACAAGCTACACAGAATTCTTCTTCAAGTCTCTGCAAGGAGGCCAGGGATCTGAATGGAAATGGAGACTCAACTATTAGTGTGTCATGTGTGAAGTGCTTCCTCCATGTCAGAGTTCAGGCATATTAACAAAGCAGTGTGGGGAAGCTTGTGCTGCTGCTTATGCTTAACCTCTTCCAAGGAATAGAGGATTTTAGTCTTCAGGCTGGCAACTTTTATGAGCAGAAAACTCTAATACGTGCATGCAAATTTAAAAAATTGAGCTAATCTAGCAGAAAGCACAGGTTGATTTGGAATTGAATAACTTAACTCTTGAAAGCTGTGAATCTTTTTTTAATTTGATTCAGAAAACAAATGGCTGTTGAAGACTTTACAATGCATTATTGACTTTGTGATGCTATACATTCTAAATATTGATCATGAACACTGAATGAAAACAATCTCTTTTAAAATGTTTAGACCTAAAGCTTAAAGAGTATGGAGCAGATCTTATCGAAGTTTCAGATAATGGTTGTGGAGTAGAAGAAGAAAACTTTGAGGGCTTGAGTAAGTTGAATTCTTCACAATTTGTTTGTTCTAAATGTTTGAGAATATTGATATTATATATAAACTCTGATTTATCTGTCAAACTGATAACTGCAGTGAGAAAACTACTTCTTTCTTATAAAATTCCCAAGTTTAATCTCTTTAGGGGGAGGGGATAGCTCAGTGGTTTGAGCATTGGCCTGCTAAACCCAGGGTTGTGAGTTCAATCCTTGAGGGGGCCATTTAGGGATCTGGGGCAAAATCAGTACTTGGTCCTGCTAGTGAAGGCAGGGGACTGGACTCAATGACCTTTCAAGGTCCCTTCCAGTTCTATGAGATAGGTATATCTCCTTAATTTTTTTTTTTTTACTTAACCCAGTGGTCCCCAACCTTTTTCATCTGGCAGGCGCCAGACGACGAGCCACGGAGGGCTGTGGCGGCGGATGAGCATGCGCCGAAATGCCGCCGACAAGTGGCAACGTCAATAGGCATCGCTGCTGAAATGCCGCCGACAAGCAGCGTCATCCAGAGTTGTCGCTGCCGAAATACCACCGAAAATCGGTGACGTTTCGGCGGCGACACCTCTGGATGACGCTGCTTTTCGGCGGATGCTCGTCCGCCGGCCAGTACGCGGGCGCACTTAGATGCCCCGGCGGGCGCCATGACACCTGCGGGCACCGCGTTGGGGACCCCTGACTTAATCCTTCTAGAATGACAGATGTTCCCACCAGAGTTGCAGTAAAACTAGTTTTATTGTCCATCCTGGTGTCGTTATGGTATGTACACATGTGAAGACCTGGACCTAATTATGCAAGTGAATAGTGGGGGTGGAGGGCAAATTGTTGCATATGCTTATTCAAAGTCTCAAGGAAATTTTGATTCAGCTGTGTTCCTTACTCTTTTATGTTCACTTTCTTTAAATGTTCAAGCAGTCACATTTTACAAGTATAACTGTTAATTTAAAAATGAATTTTAAGCTTGAATATTTGCTGAAAGCGAGCTTGAAATTGTATATTTGACTGTAAAATTTGCAATTTGTAAATTTTAAGTCATCCAAACAGGAAGCAGAAACAATACTATGGGACGTATGTAACTAACCAACACTTCAAAAATGGCAAATATTCTCAACAAGCAGTTTGCAAAGAGTCTGCACACCAAAATGTATTCACTGAAGGAATACATAATTTGGAATTACATTGGAGAATTTTGCAGATTATTTGCAAGCAGAAAACGGGGGAAAATAGTGAATAGTTGGTTAATTATTTACTTGACTCTACTATAGTTTACATAAAATATGGTATAAGCATGAAAGTTTTCTGTTTCTTTGGGAAGATACAAAATATACCTTCATACATCAATGTCATTTTGGAAAGATGTGATACAGTTACACATATTTTAAATACATTTTTCCAGCTCTGAAATATTATACTTCCAAGATACAAGATTTCTCTGATCTAATGCATGTTGGAACATTTGGATTTCGAGGTGAAGCTCTGAGTTCACTGTGTGCGTTAAGGTAATAATATTGTGCTTCATTAGTTGACGTAAAGATTCCACATGAATGCAAAA